GGCACCCAATGTTAAAAGCAAATTTCTCTGAATATAATCTGCCCATAAAAAAATACAAGCCATTTTATACTCTGTTTTGGAGTATATACACAACTCAATCTGCTCTCTCATGTAAATACCGAAATTCTAATTTTACGCGAATCGAAAAAATCTAAATATTATCTAGCACCCCCAAAGTTAAAGCAAAAATTTCTCTGCATATAATCTCTCAGAAAAAATATACAATGCCTCTTTCTACTCTGTTTTGGAGTATATACACCAAACTTCATATGCCTCTCTCATGTAAAAACACGAATTCTAATCTTACATGAATCGAAAAAATCTAAATATTATCTAGGCACCCCAATGTTAAAAAAAAATTGCTCTGAATATAATCTGTCAGAAAAATATACAATGCCTTATTCTACTCTGTTTTGTAGTATATACACCAACTCAATATGCAATCCAATGTAAAATACAGAAAATCTAATTTTACCCGAATCGAAAAAATCTAAATATTATCTGGGAACCCCAGTGTTAAAACAAAATTGCTCTGAATGTAATCTGTCAAAAGAAATATACAATACTTTATTTTACTCTGTTTTGTAGTATCTAAACCAACTAAGTATGCTCTCTCATGTAAAATACCGAAATTCTAATTTTACGTGAATTGAATAAAATCTAAATATTATCTTGGCACCCCAATGTTGAAAGTAAAATTTCTCCAAATATAATTTGTCAGAAAAAATATACAATGCCCTTTTCTACTTTGTTTTGGAGTATATAAACCAACTCAATATGCTCTCTCATGTAAAATACCAAACTTCTAATTTTACACGAATCGAAAATAATCTAAATGATATCTAGGCGGCCCAAAGTTAAAAGAAATTGGCTCTTAATATAGTCTGTTAGAAAAAATATACAATGCCTTATTCTACTGTGTTTTGGAGTATATACACCAACTCAGTATGCTCTCTAGTGTAAAATACCGAAATTCTAATTTTACGTGACTCGAAAAAGATCAAAATATTATCTAGGCACCCGAATGTAAAAAGTAAAATTGCTTTGAATATTATCTGTCAGAAAAAATATACAATGCCCTTTGCTACTCGGTTTTGGAGTATATACACCAACTCAATATGCTCTCTCATGTAAAATACAGAAATTCTAATTTTACGCGAATCGAAAAAAATCTAAATATTATCTAGGCCCCAATGTTAAAAGAAAATTGCTCTGAATATAATCTGTCAGAAAAAATATACAATGCCTTATTCTACTCTGTTTTGGAGTATATACACCAACTCAATATGCTCTCTCATGTAAAATACCGAAATTCCAACTTTATGCAAATCGAAAAAATCTAAATATTATCTAGGCACCCCAATGTTAAAAGCAAAATTGCTCTGAATATAATCTGTCAGAAAAAATATACAATGCCCTTTTCTACTCTGTTTTGGAGTATATACACCAAATCAATATGCGCTCTCATGTAAAATACAAAATTCTAATTTTACGTGAATCGAAAAAATCTAATATTATCTAGGGCACCCCCATGTTAAAAGAAAATTGCTATGAATATAATCTGTCAGAAATAATATACAATGCCCTTTTCTACTCTGTTTTGGAGTATATACACAAACTCAATATACTCTCTCATGTAAAATACGAAATTCTAATTTTACGAAGAATCGAAAAAATCTAAATATTATCTAGGCACCCAGTTAAAAGAAAATGGCTCTGAATAGTAATCTGCAGAAAAAATATACATGCACCTTTTCTCTCTGTTTTTGGACGATATACACCAACTCAATATGCTCTCCTCATGTAAAATAACAGAAATTCTAAAGTTACGCGAATCAAAAAAAATCTAAATATTATCTAGGCACTCCAGTGTTAAAAGCAAAATTGCTCTGGAATAATCTGTCAGAAAAAAATATACAATGCCCTTTTCTACTTTTTTTTTGGAGTATATACACCAACTCTCTATGCTCTCTCATGTAAAATACAGAAATTCAAATATTTTGAAAATCGAAAAAAATCTAAATATTATCTAGGCACCCCAATGTTAAAAGCAAATTGCTCTGAATATAATCTGTCAGAAAAAATATACAATGCCCTTTCTACTCTGTTTTGTAGTATATACACAAATTACATATGCTCTCTCATGTAAAATACCGAAATTCTAATATTACGCGAATCGAAAAAAATCTAAATATTATCTAGGCACCCCAATGTTGAAAGAAAATTGCTCTGAATATAATCTGTCAGAAAAAATATACAATGCCCTATTGTACTCTGTTTTGGAGTATATACACCAACTCAATATGCTCTCTCATGTAAAATACCGAAATTCTAATTTTACGCGAATCGAAAAAAATCTAAATATTATCTAGGCACCCAATGTTAAAAGAAATTGCTCTGAATATATCTGTCAGAAAAAATATACAATGCCCTATTCTACTCTGTTTTGGAGTATATACACCAACTCAATATGCTCTCTCATGTAAAATACAGAAATTCTAATTTTACGCGAATCGAAAAAATCTAAATATTATCTAGGCACCCCAATGTTAAAAGAAAATTGCTCTGAATATAATCTGTCAGAAAAATATACAATGCCCTTTTCTACTCTGTTTTGGAGTATATACACCAACTCAATATGCTCTCTCATGTAAAATACAGAAATTCTAATTTACGCGAATCGAAAAAATCTAAATATTATCTAGGCACCCCAATGTTAAAAGAAAATGGCTCTGAATATAATCTGTCAGAAAAAATATACAATGCCCTTTCTACTCTGGTTTTGAGTATATACACCAACTCAATATGCTCTCTCATGTAAAATACAGAAATTCTAATTTTACGCGAATCGAAAAAATCTAAATATTATCTAGGCACCCCAATGTTAAAAGAAAATGAATCTGAATATAATCTGTCAGAAAAAATATACAATGCCTTTTCTACTCTGTTTTGGAGTATATACACCAACTCCATATGCTCTCTCATGTAAATACAGAAATTCTATAATTTTAGCCGAATTCGAAAAGTCTAAATATTATCTAGACACCCGCAATTGTTAAAAACAAAATTGATTACTGAATCTAATCTGTCAGAATAAAATATACAATGCCCCTATTCTACCTCCTTATTTTCGAGTATCTACACCAACTCCAGTATGCTCTCTTCAGGTAAAATACAGAAATTCTATATATCAGATGAATTGCAAAAAAATCTAAATCTTATCCTAGGCACCCCAATGTTACAGAGAAAATTGCTCTGATATAATCAGTCAGAAAACATATACAATGCCCTATTCTACTCTGTACTTGAGTATATACACCAACTTCAGTATGACATCTCTCATGTTAAAATACCGAAATTATGTAATTTTACTCGAATCGAAAAAAATCTAAATAATTACTCTAGGCACCCCCAATGTTTAAAAGCAGACATTGCTCTGGCAATATAATCTCGTCAGAAAAAATATACAATGACGTCTTTCTACTCTTTTTTGGAATATATACACCAACTCAATATGCTCTCTCATGTAAAATACCGAAATTCTAATTTTACGCGAATCGAAAAAAATCTAAATATTATCTAGGCACCCCAATGTTAAAAGCAAAATTTCTCTGAATATAATCTGTCAGAAAAAATATACAATGCCCTATTCTACTCTGTTTGGAGTATATACACCAACTCAATATGCTCTCTCATGTAAAATACCGAAATTCTAATTTACGTGAATCGAAAAAAATCTAAATATTATCTAGGCACCCCAATGTTAAAAGAAAATTGCTCTGAATATAATCTGTCAGAAAAAATATACAATGCCTTTTCTACTCTGTTTTGGAGTATATACACCAACTCAATATGCTCTCTCATGTAAAATACCGAAATTCTAATTTTATGTAAATCGAAAAAAATCTAAATATTATCTAGGCACCCCAATGTTAAAAGCAAAATTCTCTGAATATAATCTGTCAGAAAAAATATACAATGCCCTTTTCTACTCTGTTTGGAGTATATACACCAACTCAATATGCTCTCTCATGTAAAATACCGAAATTCTAATTTTACGCGAATCGAAAAAATCTAAATATTATCTAGGCACCCCAATGTTAAAAGAAAATGGCTCTGAATATAATCTGTCAGAAAAAATATACAATGCCTTATTCTACTCTGTTTTGGAGTATATACACCAACTCAATATGCTCTCTCATGTAAAATACCGAAATTCTAATTTTACGCGAATCGAAAAAATCTAAATATTATCTAGGCACCCCAATGTTAAAAGCAAAATGGCTCTGAATATAATCTGTTATAAAAATATACAATGTCTTATTCTACTCTGTTTTGGAGTATATACACCAACTCAATATGCTCTCTCATGTAAAATACCGAAATTCTAATTTTACGCGAATCGAAAAAAATCTAAATATTATCTAGGCACCCCAATGTTAAAAGCAAAATTGCTCTGAATATAATCTGTCAGAAAAATATACAATGCCCTATTCTACTCTGTTTTGGAGTATATACACCAACTCAATATGCTCTCTCATGTAAAATACTAAAATTCTAATTTACGCGAATCGAAAAAATCTAAATATTATCTAGGTACCCAATGTTAAAGCAAAATGCTCTGAATATAATCTGTCAGAAAAATATACAATGCCTTATTCTACTCTGTTTTGGAGTATATACACCAACTCAATATGCTCTCTATGTAAATACCGAAATTCTAATTTACGCTGAATCCGAAAAAAATCTAAAATTTATCTAGGCACACCAATGTTAAAAGCAAAATTTCTCTGAATATAATCTGTCAGAAAAATATACAATGCCTTTTTCGACTCTGTTTTGGAGTATATACACCAACTCAATATGCTCTCTCATGTAAATACCGAAATTCTAATAATACGCGAATCGAAAACATCCTAAATATTATCTAGGCACCCCAATGTTAAAAGCAAAATTACTCTGAATATAATCTGTTAGGAAAAATATACAATGCCCTTTTCTGCTGTGTTTTGGGGTATATACACCAACTCAATATGCTCTCTTATGTAAAATACGAAAATTCTAATTTTACGCGAATCGAAAAAAATCTAAATATTATCTAAGCACCCCAATTGTTAAAAGCAAAATGGCTCTGAATATAATCTGTCAGAAAAAATATACAATGCTTTTTTCTACTCTGTTTTGGAGTATATACACCTACTCAATATGCTCTCTCATGTAAAATACCGAAATTGTAAATTTACGTGAATCGAAAAAATCTAAATATTATCTAGGCATCCCAATGTTAAAAGCAAAATTCCTCTGAATATAATCTGTCAGAAAAAATATACAATGCCCTTTTCTACTCTGTTTTGGAGTATATACACAAACTCAATATGCTCTCTCATGTAAAATACCCAAATCCTAACATTACTCTAAGTATCTCATAAAGTGCACAAGACCCCCGTGATGTTGTTTTCTATAACTAGGGGATTACAGATGACATTACTCACGATATGACTGCGGCTGTTTGCCGGTCCTGTGATAATGTTTCTAATATCCAGATAAGGAGAGGAGAATGTTTCTGCCCATAGGCAAATCCTCTGAATACGGCAAGAGGAGTACACCGTGCTGTGATATGGTCACTAATGTAAACAAGAAAACAATTATATTGAATTAAATATTGCAAGGTGTTAACCCCCCCTATAATTTTCCTTCTAATTTCAAGGGGGTGAGGAGGACATTTTTGTCAAAATGGCGGAGGTGTAACTACAGCTATTGCCTACTATATAATAAAAAAGGATAAAATTATTATTTACATATGATATGATTGCCAGTATCATATTACACCACATTTTCAAAATATCTGGGCCCCAGCAGCTGTGGGCATGGCAGCCAAGCGAGGGTGTCCCTATGCAACCAGGTTGGGCATTGCAGCTGCTACGGGCCCTTTGTGGTTTGTCTGGGGGCTGCTACGGGCCCTCTGGCGGTGGCTGTGGTAACAGCCACATAGCCAGAGGGTCTCTCAGCATCCAGGGAGGGCCTGGCGGCTGCTACTGACACTCTGGCAGGGGCTATGGGCACAGCCACCTAACCAGGGGGTCCCTACGTAGCCAGGGTGGGGCTGGAAGCTGCTATAGGCCCTTTGGCGGGAGGTGTGGGGATACCCTGCTCTTCACAGGTACACAGTTTGCACCTATTTCTACATGTGTAGATCGTTTACATAATGGGCACATATTTGTACACATGTACATATGTTATTATCACAATAAACATATATGTACATAATATGTGTACAATAAATATGTACTTTATACGTACCTAATATAAACAATATGTACTTTTTGGTGATATTATGTGATATCTACATATTATTGATTATATATCTTATTGTGATAATATGTATGTTACCACTGAAATTTTTAGAAATGTACATAGAGTACACTTTATGTACCTATGCATTGTGTACACATTATAGAAATAAATAGGTACATATTTTACAGATTATGTACATTTTTTCTACATGTGTATTTTGTACACATATGTACAGCAGAGTAAATGTACAGACTATACCTATTTTATACATTTATTGTGATATGTCAATAAATGTACACATGAGTACATTCTGGGATATAATTTTTAGCATATTAGATAGGAATTACACCGGTGACCAAAGTGGGTTTACACCCAGGTGCGCACATAGTTTATACATGTACATGTTGTGCATATTATGTACTCATGTACAGAATGTACATGTCTACATTATATATACATAGGTGTACGCAGCATACATATGTACATACTGTGCACACATATGTACACGTGCATATATTGTACATCTGTACATAATGGGTACATGATGTACATGTGTACACATCATATCACAATAAATGTAAATATACATAATGTTTGCAATATGTACGTTTATATTATGTATTACGTTTATTGTGATTATATATGCTGTTGTGATATGATATCATTGTGACATTACAAATGTACATATTATACACATTATGTACCTATGCATTGTGCACAGATTATAGAAATAGAAAGAAACATATTTTACAGGTTATGTACATTTTATTTACTTGTGTATTGGGTACACAGAGTAAATGTACAGATCTTACTTTATACATTTATTGTGATATGCCAATAAATGTACACATTATGAGTACATTCTGTGATATTACATTTAGAATATAAGATAGAAATTACTCTGGTTACCAAAGTGGGTGTAAACTTATGTGTGCACATACTTTGTACATGTACATACTGTGCATATTATGTACTTGTGTACAGAAGGTAAATATCTACATTATATGTATGTATGGGTACAGAGCGTACATATGTACATACTATGTACATATATCTACACCTGAATTTATTGTACATCCGTACATAATGGGTCCATGCTGTACATGTAAACACATCGTCATACCACAATAAATGGAAATGTACATAATGTGTGAAATACGTACATTTATATTATGTATTACATGTGTATTGTGATTGTATATGCTGTTCTGATATCATTGTGATATTACAAATGTACATATTGTACACATTATGGACATACCTATTGTGTACATATTATGTACACATAAATGTACATATTGTACAGATTATGTATATTTATTGTACATCTGTATGGTGCACACATATGTACATCACAGTCAACGTACATATGGTACATATTCTGTGCATTGTTTGTAATATTTCAGTAAGAGTACACATTATAAGTATATTCTGGGATATGATTTTTAGTATGTTAGATAAAAATTACTTTCAATATCAAAGTGGGTATACACTTATGTGTGTCCATTTTGTGATATTATCCATCATATCCTGAGTAGGTATTTCTCTCATTGTGAAAGCAGGTTTACACTCTCGGATTGCTCCAATATCAAGGCAAACTAAAACTCGTCTGTGATGTAGTTAATAATATCCTGAGGACAAAGGATGACCATACCCTGAATATCGCAGGAAGTGTACACCACCACTGTAGTATTGTTTCTAATGTTCAAAAACGGAAAGGATATTACTCCAAATATCTCAGAAAGCACACAAGCCCCCCGTGATATTGTTTCTAATAACTAGAGAATTACAGATGACATTACCCACGACGTGACTGGGGCTGTACTCTGGTCCTGGAATATTGTTCCTAATATCCAGAGAAGGAGAGGAAAATGTTGCTGCCCATAGGGAAATACTCTTAATACGGCAAGAGGTGTACACCATGCTTTGATATGGTCACTAATGTAAGCAAGAAAACAATTACATTGAATTAAGCATTGCAAGGAATGAAACTCCCCTATGATTTTCATTCTAATGTCAATGGGGGTGAGGATGACATTTTTGTCAATATGGCAGAGGTGTAACTGGAGCTATTGCCTAATATACAAAAAAACAGAATAAGATTATCATTTTTATATAATATGGTTGCCAGTATCATATTACACCTGATTTGCAAAATAGCTGGGCCTCAGCAGCTGTGGGCAGAGCCCACAAGCGAGGGGACCCCTAAGCAGCCAGGGTGGGCCTGGGGGCTGCTCTGGGCTTTTTGGTGGGGTCTGTGAGCACATCGACCCAGCCAGGGGTCCCTGAGCAGCCATGGTTGGCCTGGGGGGCTGCTACGGGCACTCTGGCATGGGCTGTGGGCACAGACACCTAGTCAGGGGGTCCCTAAGCAGCCAGGGTGGGCATGGGGGCTGCTACAGGCATTCGAGCAGTGTTTGTGGGCACAGCCCAATTGCCAGGGGGTCTCTAAGCAGCCAGGCTGGGCCTGGGGGCTGCTATAAGGGGGGCTTTGGTAATAGCGTGCTGTGCATCGGTACATAGTTTGCACCTATTACTACATGTGTAAATAGTTTTAATATCGGGCATATATATGTACATGCGTACATATGGTGTTATCACGATAAATTTATATTTACATAATATGTGCAAAATACATATGTACCTAATGCATACCTAATGTGTACAATATGTACTTTTTTGTAATATTAGACAATATATATTACTGTGATTATATATCTTATTGTGATTAAATATATTTTATCACTAATATTTTAAGGAATGTGCATAGTGTACACATTATATACCTATGTATTGTGTACACAATATAGAAATATATAGGTACATATTTTACAGATTATGTACACTTTTTCTACATGTGTATTGTGTACACCTATGCACAGCAGAGTAAATGTACAGACTGTACCTATTTTATACATTTCTTGTGATATGCCAATAAATGTACACATTATGAGTACATTCTAAAATATAATTTTTACCATATTAGAAATTACTCCATTGACCAAAGTGGGTGTACACCCAGGTGTGTACATAGTTTATACGTGTACATATTGTGCATATTAGGTACTCATGTACAAAATGTACATGTCAACATTATATGTATTTATGTGTACATAGTGTGCACATGTACATACTGTTCACACATATGTACATGTGCATATTTTGTACATGTGTACATAATGGGTACATGATGTGCATGTGTACACACCGTGATACCACAATAAATGTAAATGTACACGATGTGTGCAATATGTACATTTATATTATGTATTACTTGTGTATTGTGATTTTATATGCTGTTGTGATTATATGATATCATTGTAATATTACAATAAATGTACATATTGCACACATTTCGTACATACCTATTGTGTACACATTATGTACCTGTAATTGCACATATTGTACAGATTATGTACGTTTTTGGTACATCTGTATTGTGTACACATATGTACATAACACTCTATGTACATATGGTATGTATTCTGCACATTGATTGTAACATCTCAATAAGTGTACACATTATGAGTATATTGTGATATATGATTTTTAGTATATTAGATAAAAATTTCTTTCTATATCAAAGTGGGTATACACCCATGTGTGTCCATTTTTTGATATTATCCATCATATTTTAAGTAGGTATTACTCTCATTTTGAAAGCAAGTGTTCACTCTGTGATTGTTCCAATATCACAGGCAAAGTACAAGGCTTCTTTAATGTACTACCTAATATCCTGGGGACAAAAGATTATTATACCCTGAATATCGCAGGAAGTGTACACCACCACTGTAGTATCGTGTCTAATATCCAAAAACGGAAAAGATATTACTCCAAGTATCTGATAAAGCACACAAGACCCCCGTGATATTTTTTCTAATAACTAAGGGATTACAGATGACATTACTCACGATATGACTGGGGCTGTCCGCCGGTCCTGTGATATTGTTCCTAATATCCAGAGAACGAGAGAATAATGTTGCTGCCCATAGGCAAATCCTCTGAATACGGCAAGAGGAGTACACTGTGCTCTGATATGGTCACTAATGTAAACAAGAAAACAATTATATTGAATTTAACATTGCAAGGGGTGAAACCCCCTTATGATTTCAATTCTAATGTCCAGGGGTGTGAGGATGACATTTTTGTCAATATGGCAGAGGTGTAACTAGAACTATTGCCTAGTATATCAAAAACCAGAATAACATCATTTCCATATGATATGGTCGCCAGCATCATATTACACCACATTTTCAAAATAGCCGGGCACAGCGCCCTAGCCAGGGGGTCCCTAAGCAGCCAGCGTCAGCCTGGGAGCTGTTACGGGCCCTCTGGCGGGGAATGTGGTTACAGCTCCCTAGCCAGGGGGTCTTTAAGCAGCCAGGGTGGGCCTTGGGGCTGCTACGAGGGGGGCTGTGGTAATAGCCTGTTCTGCACAGGTACATAGTTTTAATAATGAACACATATTTGTATAAGTGTACACATGGTGTTATGATAAATATATATGTACATATGTGCACAATACATATAGACCTAATGCGTACCTACTGTGTACAATATGTACTTTTTTGTGATATTACATGATATATATATATTACTGTGATTATATGCGTTATTTTGATTATATATATTTTATCACTGATATTTTAAGGAATGTGCATAGTGTACACATTATGTACCTATACATTGTTTACACATTATAGAAATATGTAGGTACATATTTTACAGAGTATGTACATTTTTTGTACATGTGCATTGTGTACACATATGTACAGCAGGGTAAATGTACAGATTGTACCTATTTTATACATTTATTGCAATATGCCAATAAATGTACACACTATTACTACATTCTGAATTATTATATTTTGTATATTAGATAGAAATTTCTCCGGTTACCAAAGTGGTTGTACACCCAGGTGTGTACATAGTTTATATGTGTACATATTGTGCATAGAATGTACTCGGGTACAGAAGGTACATATCTACATTATATGTACACATGTGTAGTGTACATATGTACATACTGTACCCACATATGTACACTTGCATATATTGTGCATCTGTACATAATGGGTACATGATGTACATGTTTACATATCATATCACAATAAATGTAAATGTACATGTTTGCAATATGTACATTTATATTGATATTACATATTACATGTGTATTGTGATTTTATATGCAGTTGTGATTATATAACATTGTGATATTACAATAAATGTACATATTGTACACATTATGTGCATACCTATTGTGTGCACATTTTGTACATATATTCGTACAAATGATACAGTTTATGTACATTTATTGTACATCTGTATTGTGTACATGTATGTACATCACAGTCAATGTACATATGTTACATATTCTGTACATTGAGTGTAATATCCCAATAAGTGTACACATTATGAGTTTTTTCTGGGTTATGACTTTTAGTATATTAGATAAAAATGACTTCCAATATCACAGTGGGTATATACCCATGTGTGTCCATTTTGTGATATTATCCATCATATCCTAAGTAGGTATTTCTCTCACAATGAAAGAAGGTGTACACTCTGTGATTGTTCCAATATTATAGGCAAAGTGCAACGCTTCTGCGATGTAGTTCCTAATATCCCAGGGACAGAGGATGAGTATACTCTTAATATCGCAGGAAGTGTACACCACCACTGTAGTATTGTTTCTAATATCCAGAAACTAAAAGGATATTACTCCAAATATCTCCAAAAGCACACAAGACCCCCGTTACATTGTTCTTAATAACTAGGGGATTACAGATGACATTGCTCACGATGTGACTGGCGCTGTAAGCCGGTCCTGTGATATTCTTCCTAATATCCAGATAAGGAGAGAAAAATGTTGCTGCCCATAGAGAAATATTCTGAATACTGCAAGAGATGTACACCGTGCTCTGATATGGTCACTAATGTAAACAAGAAAACAATTATATTGAATTAAACATTGCAAGGGGTGAAACCCTCCTATGCTTTCAATTCTAATGTCAATGGGGTGAGGATGACATTTTTGTCAATATGCCAAATGTGTAACTAGAACTATTGCCTAATATGTAAAGAACCACAATAACATTATCATTTCTGTGTGATATGGTTGCCAGTATCATATTACACCACATTTTCAAAATAGCCGGGCCCCAGCAGCTGTGGGCACAGCGCCCTAGGCAGGGGGTCCCTAAGCAGCCAGCGTGGGCCTGGTAGCTGTTATGGGCCCTCTGGCGGGGGCTGTGGGTACAGCCCCCTAGCCAGGGGGTCTTTAAGCAGCCAGGGTGGGCATTGAGGCTGCTACGAGCAGAACTGTAGTAATAGCCTGCTGTGCATAGGTATGTAGTTTGCACCTATTTCTGCATGTGTACATTGTTTAAATAGTAGGCACATATTTGTATACGTGTACATACGGTGTTATCATGATACATATATATTTTCATAATATGTGCACTATACATATGTACCTAATACATACCTAATGTGTACAATACGTACTTTTTGGTGATATTACACGACATATATGTATTAGTGTGATTATATATCTTACTGTGATTATATATATTTTATCACTGATATTTTAAGGAATGTGCATAGTGTACACATTATGTACCTATGCATTGTGTACACATTATAGAAATATATAGGTACATATTTTACAGATTATGTACATTTTTTGTACATGTGCATTGTGTACACCTATGTACAGCAGAGTACATGTACAGATTGTGCCTATTTAATACATTTATCACAATACGACAATAAATGTACACACTATGACTACATTCTGGGATTTTATATTTAGTATATTAGATAGAAATCTCTCCGGTTACCAAAGTGGGTATACACCTATATGTGTACCTAGTATATACGTGTACATATTGTACATACTGTGTACTCCTGTACAGAAGGTACATATCTACATTATATGAACATATGTGTAGTGTACATATGTACATACTGTGCACACTTATGTACACGTGTATATACCGCAAATCTGCACGTGTGCATGATGTACATGTGTACATATCGTAATATCACAATAAATGTAAATGTATATAATGTGTGCAATATGTACATTTATATTGATATTATGTATTATATGTGTATTGTGATTATATATGCTGTTGTGATTATATGAAATCATTGTAATATTACAATATATTTACATATTGTACACATTATGTACATACCTACTGTGTACACATTATGTACATATAAATGTACATATTGTACAGATTATGTACATTTTTTGTACATCTGTATTGTGTACACATATGTACATCACAGTCAATGTACATATGGTACATATTTTGTACGTTGATTGTAATATCCCAATAAGTGTACACATTATGAGTATATTCTGGGATATGATTTATAGTATATAAGAAAAAAGTTACTTCCAATATCAATGTGGGTATACTCGCATGTGTGTCCATTTTGCTGTACCTTCTATTAATCTTTGCCATTGAACATGATAGTGAGAGGTGGTTCTTTTCTCTAACAAGGTTTTCTGTTAATATAACTCAACTCTACTACCTTGTGGCCTCTGTATCTTCCATTGTAAATTGTAATTACCTATAAAAGAGAATATTTTGACATCACGTATCTACCTCTTGGATCCATCAGCCAGAGGCCTAAAATAAAAAAGACATTCACCCCACGAATGGTTATATAGTGGTTGACAACCCCACTTTCTTCTAGGTAAATAATATCCTCTCTTTAACAGTAGCTACTTACAAGATTTGTGCATAAAGAATGTGACTTTTTTATCAGTATCTAGTTTATTCTTACATAAATTTCTAAAATACTGAGAGAATATTCTGATCATTGGTTATGTACTATTTTAATTTAATTTTTTCCTCTCAAATTTTATCTTAACTGCATACTCTACCCTGTTTATAAGACTGCCCTATGGTTAAATTTAGTAGGTAGTAAATTATCCTGAGCACACAGAACAATTCTTTTTGTAATCAACTCTGAAACATCATTGAAAGAGCAAGGATATGGGAATGAGATTTATCTGGCTTTTATTTCTGGTACTTACTTGCTCTCTGACCTTGGGCAACTTATGTATTGCTCTGAGTCTCATCTTCTTCATCTGTAAAATGATCATAGTAATACCTAATTCATATGCAGCTTGGAAATGTGTAATTTAGTGATTGATATAAAGTTCCTGATACAATTTCTGACAAAATAATAGACACCCCACGAGAGATAGCCATAACAATCAGAGTTTATATTCACATTAACTGGGATAAAATTGATCTGAAAATACAGCATAAAAAAGCAGCCAAAAATTCACAAGCATATATTTCGCTTGCCTTTTTATACAGAGCTGGAAAATTTCTCATCATTATCTCATCCATTGCCTGCAGCACGATCCTTCCAAAACTCCTCCTAAGACCGTCTGCCAAGGTGGAACACACTGAACCGCATGTGACTCTGCCTTTTCTGACTATTTTTGCAAGATTTTTCTCATAGAGTATTATTAACAGAAAATGGGGCTGTTATCAAGGTGACTAGGAATGGTGCATTCTCAGTTCAGGCTCTGATGGAATGTCTACTTGATCTGGTGCAACTCCAGCTGTGCTCTTGGCTTTCCTCACTTTTGTGGTTCCGAGAATGCAAATATTCTCCCATGGCTTCCTTATTTTGTCTTTCTCCATGAGGTCTCATTCAAGTATAAACATTCCCTTCAATTTTCTCAACTCATTTTATATTGTCTGAATAACCTTGATAATTTTCCCTTTCCTAAAGCTATAGACCTTCTTTTTGTGTGTAAGAACAGATTACTCACAAATGTTTACTGTCCGCTAAACATTTATGTGTAATCGGTCCTTAATTCTACACACAAAATATCATCTCTACCAACATTTTACAACTATAGTCTTTCTATAGAGAACTATGAAAGGAACTTGCTCTAAAGGAGAAACTTCCAGAGCTAAACCAAGGGTCTGACAATTTTTAACAATATGTTATTCAGTAAAAATATTTTTTCAGTTAACAGAGAAGAATGCCATGGACAAAATGGCAAAACAGAACTTTTCAGCACTTATTCCTTCACAGAAACATCAATTTGAACAGCCATCCGTGCATCAAAGTGTCTTCAAAAGAGACAAGGAATCCAGGTGAGAGGTTATAGCACGTTTGTGGAGTAGAAAAGTAAGAAAAACGGCATAAAATAGAGTATAAAAGAGAGTTTTCTATTATCTGCATTACCCCGCCCCTAAACCTGGGTAGTGCAGCATGGAAAGAGATACTATGTATGTGCAGAGAGGAGAGTAAATGTAACACCTGACTTCAACATCAACTCCAATGCCAGGCACAATTCAGTGAACTCAACACCAGGCAGGTTTCTATAGCCACAGGCTATGGGACAGACCCTGTCAACCCAAGCTCCAGGCCTTCCCCTATGGCTCTAAGATCTAATGCCTCCAACCTCCATGGCTCCTATCGACATAGGCTCCAGGCCTTCGCCACAACCAGGCCATTTATGGCTTCCCCAGGCTCCACACTGGTTACTATAGACTCGTAAGTGCCTGGATAAACAAACCTCTACATCGACACAGTGGAATATTATTCAGCAATGAAAGCAATAATCTTTGAATGTGGCTTTTGTTGCAGAAAAAAAAGCACGTGAGCTATGAAGCCATTAAAAGACATAGAGGAAACTCAAATACATACTACTAAGTGAAAGAAACCAATCTCAAATGACCACTTACTATATGAATCCAACTATATGACATTCTGGAAAAGGCAAAACTATAGAGACATCAAAACGTTCAGTGATTGCTGGGCTTTGAAAAGTGAGGAAGGATGAATGGGCAGAGCATAGAGGATGTTTAGAACAATGAAACTACTCTGTGTGTTACTATAATGGTAGACACATGCCATTACACCTTTGTCAAAACTCACTGAATATACAACAGCAAGAATGGTCCCTAATGTCAATTATAAACTATGGGTGACAGTGATAAGTCAATGTTGGTTCATCCATTGTAACAAATGTACCTCTCTAGTGAGGAAGGCTGATAGTGGAGGAGGCTGTGCATTTGGGGAGGTGGGAATGTAGGAACTCTCTGTACTTTCCACTATGCCTCACTATTAACTTTAAACTGCTCTAAAAATAAAGCGTATTTAAAAAAAGATTGAGCTGTTGATATAAACCCAATGTCTACTTTGATGTTTAGAAATGTTTCTTTTAAAACCCATATTGAATAACCTGTGTCATCAGTGGCGATCTCTTCACTGGAAAAGGCTAATACACCATTTCCTGGAAGAAAATATTTGTTAACAAATTCTTTTCTAGAACAATTATTTTTGTGGGTGTTCCTGTGTCAACTATATATAAAAATCAGAATATGCAGCAACATCTTGATACTCTAAAAACACAAACCAAAAACGTTAAGAAAATAATTTCTAAATTTGATCTAAGCCAAAATGTGGAGAAGCAAAAGGGAAGAAAATTATTTCTGTATAATGAGATTATAGATTGTTTCTCCGAACTCCTCTACAGTTTTCAGTATTTTCCAACTTCTATAATGGAGATATATAGATATATAAGTAGATATGTAGATATATAGTCATTAGATATATATTTATATATAATAAATAAACAGATACCATTTTCATTTTTTATTTTTTTATTTTTTGAGATGGAGTTTTGCTCTTGTATCCCAGGCTGGAGTGCAATGGCGCAATCTCAGCTCACCGCAACCTCCGCCTCCTGGGTTCAGGCAATTCTCCTGCCTCAGCCTCCTGAGTAGCTGGGATTACAGGCACGCGCCACCAAGCCCAGCTAATTTTTTGTATTTTTAGTAGAGATGGGGTTTCACCATGTTGACCAGGATGGTCTCGATCTCTTGACCTCGTGATCCACCCGCCTCGGCCTCCCAAAGTGCTGGGATTACAGGCTTGAGCCACTGCGCCTGGCCTACAGATACCATTTTTAAAAGATATATTTATGTATTTTATATATTTATATAATATATACATGTTCATATATACATCATGTTATCACCATTATGGATATAAAGAAGGACATTAAAATAGTGAAAAGATTAAAATAAAATGTACCAAAATGGAAACAGTAATTTAACTCTGCCTAGCTTTATGTGATTAAACAAGGTATTTTTCAAATCTATTTTTCTTTGCTTTCTAGAGGCTTTATAATAAATCTATATTTTTATATTTAAAAGCCTAATTTTTATTAAACAAATAAAAATTCAGCAACACTGTCTTTAGAACATTTTTTAAATAAACTTGAGCATGAAGAAAATGTTATGACTATGGTGGTGAGCATTTTGAAAGATTAGCAGAAGCAGGGATAATGTGACATTTAGCTGATCTTTCAAGGGAAGCTAGACAAATGACACTTTTTGAAAAGAAAATAGTAACTAGTGTTGAAACCTGGTATTGCCAGTATGATTAAGAAGGAAAGTGTCGACTTCTGTGGAAAATTCTAACATTACCAAACGTAAGAAGGCACATACTTCAACAACAGAAATGAAAAATATCTTGATTCATTTATTTAACACTGTTTTAGAGTTTAATCCCAAAAAGTCTATTTTGAAGAAAAGAAAAATCTTACTCGTGTATATTACCCTTTGCAGTGAACTGGCCAAATAAGTCTACCCAAGGTACATTGAATACCGAGCATGCTGGAAACATTTTTATTTATATCATCTCTAATCCCTACAACAATAGTACAAGGAAAGGTTTAACATCTTCTTTTTACAGAGAGGAAAACTGAGGCTCAAAGAGGTATACTATCTCATTTAACATCACACATCAAATAAGTGGTAGAGGTGGGACCTATACTTACATCTGTCAGACCTTAAAGTCTGTGTTCTTCTTTCTACCTCTTTGCCTCAGTCCAACAATTGGGATCTTTGCCATGATGACTCACGAGTTCACGAGGCACTTTTCAGGAAGTTTTTGACTCAGACTTTATCACTCAGCAAGATACCTCAACTAATTTACAAAATGTGACTTGAAAAGCAGGTTGTAATTCCAAAAGCAAAAATCCAACC